CCCCCCAAATCGATCCCAAATCTGCTCCAAACTGCCCCAAATCACCTCCCAGCCGCCCCAAATCCCTTCCCAGCCTCCCAAAATCCCTTTCCCATCCCCCCCAGTCCCATACATTGATGCCGAAGCCGGCGGGGGGGTCGAAGTCGCCGGGAGGGCGGGTCAGGCTGCGGTACTGCTGGTACATGTCGTCCCCAATGTCCGACAGCAGCTGGCTCACCTCGCTGGGCGCTGCGCTCTTGGGGTCCCCCTTGTCACCTGAGGGGGACACAGGGTGAAGAGATCTCCCAAAATCCCCCCCAAAGGGGCGGGAGATCCCTGGACCACACCAATTTCCACTATATGAACACCAATCCCCCCATACGAACACCCCAATTCCACCCTATATAGACACCCCAATTCTGTCCCTATAAGGGCACCTCAATTCCTCCCCATATGGACACCCCAAATCCGTGCCTATAAGAGCACCCCAATTCCATCCCTGTACGGACACCCCAATCCTGTACCCCAATTCTCTCCTCCTGGGGGTACCCCGAGTCCCCCCAGACCCCTGTCAGAGGTGGGGTGGGCACCCTGGACATTGCACGGGACACCCCAAATCCAACTCCACGTGCATCCCACTCCTCCCCCTGCACCCCAAACCCTGCTGGGGCTGTCCCCCGAGCCCCCCAGCCCCCCGTACCTTCATCGGGGGCGTGATAGGCTGCCAGGGCATTGAGCATGTCGTAGATGACATCACGGATGGGCTCGGGGATGGGCGGCAGCGCGGCCGCTTTGGCCGGAGTGGTCTTGACCAGCTGCACCGCGTTGGGGCCCTTGATGCGCAGGTTCTCAAACTCATCGTCCGAGGCTGGGTAATGGTGAAAAAACAGGGAAAAATGGGGAAAAATGGGGAAAAATTGGGTGTCAGCCTTGGGAGCCTCCCAAAGGATGTGGGACCCCCACAGCTGGGGCCAAGAAAAAGGGACCCTGCTTTTGTGGTACGAGGCAACCTTGGGATCCCTGTTTTCAGGGGAAAAGGAACTCTGGGACCCTGTTTTTGGGGTTAAAGAGACACCCAGGACCCTCATTTTGGGGTTAGAGGTACCCCACGCAGGTGCCAGGGACCCCACAGAGCCTGTCCCAACTGGCAGAGCACCCCCAGGAGCCCTTTCCAGGTCCCAACCCCCTCTCCAGAAACTCATCCCAGGTTCTGGGGTCCCATGACCCCTCCAGAAGTCCCCTCAGGGTACCCAAGGCCCCTGTGAAAACCCCATTCTGGGTTCCAGAACCCCCTCCAGGAGCCCATTCTGGGTCCCACCCCACTGCTGGGCTGCAGGACCCCTGTGAGAGCTCCCCCCCAGATCCCAGGACCCCTTTC